CTTCTATGTGGTAAGTGATATGGGATATTATACCCAGAACCAGTCCAGAATAGCCGGTCGAATAAAACGGAGGAACCACTTTGGTCGAACAAAGGCTAGATGGGATGGTCGCGGTCAAAGATCATGAAACGGGAACCTTAGGAAAACATGACGATCTGCGGAAAATCTGGTCGTAGAGTTGGTTTGTCGAGCAAACGGCATTTTGATCGACCACTTCACATACTGAGGGAGATCCAGCGATTTACTCATATTTGGTCGAAGCATAAGAGACTTCAAAGTGACAACGAAGGGAATCTTTATCCACGCGCGTAGGACACGTGGAATGGCTTGATTGACCCATGTAAATAACTGTTTCTGACACACCTACGCTAGAGGTGGTACTATCGGGCAGACCGGACAGTTCTTGGGCAACCAGCTCAACCAATTCGGGCAGCTTCTAGAACAGATATGTCATCCCTATATATAGGGTGAGACTTATGATTTTACACACGATTTTCCAATATATCATTATCACTTTAGACTTGAGCTTGAAACTGACTTGAGCGTTGGAGGCTCTTCAGCGGAAAATCCCTTCGATGTGAGAGTTTGTGCAGGTGTTGGCGTTCTACCGACGAAGACAACAGAGGCACGCCGATTCCTGACCAGTTGGTTCGTTGGACTTGTATTAGTAAGGTTCATGCACATGGTAGTGGTTGTTATCGTGCTGCGCTCGTGGCAGCACTGCCAGGCTCCAAAGAGTATATAAATGGGTTTTCTTTCTAACGTGAGAAACTACTTTGTTAGATCTAGATCTATTTATGCAGAATCCATTTAGGCTTAGAATTTTGTCTAAAGTACATGTATAGACAACTTTTAAAATTCATATGATATATATGTGTCGAACCTTTTCAGTTATGAACATTAGACTTTTTACAATATTAAATATCAAAATTACGCTCCTAATCAGTTATGGAAGGAAATTAATAAGATATTAACATCTAATAAATCATATCTTTAATTTCATATGATACCAAAAATATAAATATTAAGATAAAAAAATAATGGTAAGTTTTGTATACATATGTAGTCTTTCGAAAGGTTCTACACTAACGTAAAAAATCGGTCAAGAAAGTAGAAGCTAGTGGAAAACAAATGGAGGAGCTAAGACAGGAATTTTGTCGAGGCATGCGGGTCGAGATTCGGGTTTCCAAAAGTCGGGGGTCGAAAACTCGTGGAAGTGCATTTTGGAGACGTCGCGCAGTCAGGTCCTTGTCATGGGTTCTAACTAAAAAATAATTCATGTACAGAGATCTATGCGGGGTAATTGTCGAAAAAATAAAATTAAATGATTGGTCCACGTTTTCTCAATATAATGTAATATAAACCTTAATCATACTTTACTGACAGATAATGTTTCCAAAGTTAAAAATTAATCACATCTAAACCACATTAAAAATTGCTTCAAAATGTAGATATTAACCACATCTAAATTAAACTTATCCTAAACAAGAATGTGTACATGTTCATTACTGCAACCTATAAAAATCAATTCACAATGATTCATACTTTGTAAGAAAATGACATAAATTGAGCATCATCGTCATCTGAACTAAACTAGGCACAAGCATAATTACAAAAATGCGTAGATATTCATAAAGCAAAAATCATCATTCATAATCTGCCTCGATCCGTTGTGCCTTAAGCTGATAATTAAAAAGGTTAAATATTTTTCGTCCTTTGGTGAAAGGAAAAACCTAAGTTGATACATGACCCCTCATGGGAGCACTGACTTTCAACGAAGAGGATGAAAGGGACGGGGGACAGTTAGTCAGCGGCCGTGAGTGGTTTTCATAGGGACGATTGTGGCTTGAAAGAATGAGTGTGGTGCTCGATTCTCGCTGAAAAATTAAGTTTTCGGTATTCACAATGAAGTAAAATTTGGGGCGAGAAACGGCGGCGGCGGCCGTGGTGCTGGTGGCGCAAAAGTTGCGGTTCATTTCGGGCTAATTTTGTTGTCCGATTCATATTTTTTAAGAAAATTTAGAGATTGATTTATGTGTGAGAAAATAAAATTTAGTGTTGATTTTGTAATTTATGTGCGTGAATATTTAGAAGGAGGAGAAAAAAATAGTGAAAGAAGAAGAAGAGGAGAAGAAAGGAAAGTCAATTTGGGTGATTAATACATCTAATTTACTCACATCAATTAATTTGATCAAATCTTCTTACCAAATCAAGATTAGCGTATTTTTGTACTTATTTTCTACTGAAAGGGTTATCATGTACTACTAGGGTATAATTGACTTTAAATAATCAAGTAGTAATTATATGAACAAGATGCTTAAGCAAGAATGGATGGGTAATTTTCTCTAGAATTTTATTTCTTTTACCCCCACGGGTGCCATAGCTCGTGGTTCACGTGCATTGGCTCACTTCTTGATGGATCGAAAAAGTCATAGCCCAACTTGCCTCTTTTGCGGCGCAACGTTGGCCGGCCCATGGGTTTAGGCCCATCTTTACGGCTCTAATATTGTGATCTAGAAGTATAGCCATTTTCCATTCAATCAATTGTGGCGGCCAAATTAGAGGGTAGAAGATAGTCTTCAAGCCTTCAAAGTTTTGCAATTTGTATTCTATTGGTCCACTCCTTCAAGGATGCTCATATATTATTGATGCCATCGGGAACATTGAAAGGAAAATAGAAAGGCGTTGATGACTTTCTTTTCGATCAAGGTATTATAGAGGGTGTAAACTTCATGGGTTCTGGTACGTAAAGACTCTCGACCGGCTGGAATCGGCGTGTTCTTGAGCTTCCTCACCGGTTGAACGTCTTTAGACCTGCAAAAACTCTCACATCGAAGGAGTTTTCTAGTGAATAGCCTCCGATGCTTAAACAAGAACTTTTAGAAGATGATAATGGCCGAAAGTATATAGAATATGAATGTAATGGCTAAAATCACATGTCTCACCCCTATTTATAGAGTTGAGGTACCTGCTTCTAGAAGGTGCTTGGTTGTGGTGAGCTGGCTACCCTAGCTGCCCGAGCTGACTTATAGTACAACCCGCACTACCCAATGTGTTAGATACGGTTATGAGGTGTGTATCAATCGGGCGGTGCCACGTGTCTCTGCCCATGTGTATCCATTAGTTACCTTGAACATTCCTTCGTATCCTTTAGTCCTCTTTTTCAGACAGTTTAATCCTGCATTAGACCTCAATTAAGGTGGAACGTCATTGGTGTTGAGCTCTGTTGTCCCACTTACTTGTTCGATCCTTTGACCTGCTCCTCTTACGAATCGAGCTTCCACTAGGCCTTCCGAGGGCCTCTATTCAACCTGTTGGTGTCCTTCACGCCATATTGTTCTTTTCGACCTGAGGGTCTTTCAACCTGAGTCTTCATTCTCTGCTCGACTTGATGACCAGTTCGATTCGGTTATTTTCTCGATCTAGTCGACCTGTTACTGTTATCCCATATCATCTAGTCCCCCCACTCTAGTCGAGTTATTTTAGCTCAATCCAAGAGTAGATAGTTACGACCCCCAAGATTGTTTGGCTTGCGACATTGACCTTGGCTCTTCTTTGGTAATTGATTGTTGCTGTCTTTTTTGACCTACATACTCTCCTTTGAATTCAAAATTCAAATTTTAAATTAGCATCACTCACATGAGTCATTTCTGACCCGTCCAATCGCCACGTGACCCCTCGCAGTCTGTGTCTGCCTTGTGCAGTCAATTTAATCGAATTGGTTCATGTCTTTTCATATCCAACAATCCACCTTCCTTCGTCCTTTCAGTTGTCAGACCACATCTCCTCTATTCATTTTCATTTTAATCCAATGGCTCTACTCGACTATCTTTCCAACTCCCTCAGGATTAATCTAGTTCATTCACCACCTCTCGATCGAACATCTAGGGTCAATTTAGTCAAATTTTTCTGATTTTCCCATATTAGACTTTTCTGATTTACAAACTTTCTGCAAACCAGTCTCTCTTAGTTCTCACAGAAGATCTACCATCGGCCACCGTAGATCGCCTCTCTCCTCTGCTCGAAATATGTCTTCAGTCAGTAAGTTTTGTGCTCCCATGTATTTTACCACTTTACGTGTGTGTGTGTATACTTTGTTTGTTTGAAAGTCTTCTTCCTCGGTATCACAATGTATGTGTGTGTGCATACTGTCTTTCTATCTATATAGAGAGAGTAAAAATTATCTGAAGAAGGTGAAACAAAGAGAGGCTTGTAGATGCTATAATAAAGACCATAAACCATTTTAAGCGTGTTTGAAGAAAGGCATGTCTAACGAAAAAAAGTGTTACGCGCATGGTTGTAGTTAATAAGCGCTAGAGTGACTTGAGTGACCTTAGGTTTTTGATCCGCTCATTCAAGTGGGTTTGTATGCTCCAGCCGAGCAATGTAGTGTTGCTGCTATGCTACCCTACAGATGCTATATAACTTCATGCTCGGAAACCAAGTTTGGTAAGAATCGATTCTTTTCTATTTCAATTCTTATTCCGATTCTGCTTTTGTCTACCTCCCTTTCGATTTCATGTTGCTCATGTATGTATAAACGTTTATATGTAAGTCAATTGGCTACACATTCCTAATGGCTTGGTGCAGAAGTATTTAGATTCTGTTCTTTTGAAAAATATGTATATGAACGTGACCCATTTTTAATATTTTCTACCTTCAATTTCTCAATACCTTGAAAAATATGTGTTGACAATTATGACATTGGGACGGGATTTGGGCATTTTACCATTGGAACTCATGATGTAAGAACTAAACTTCATTTTCTCTCATTAGCAACACTAGCAAGTTATTTTTTATCCGTTTGTCAGAAAATGAAATTCATTCAGTTTCATTATAAACTTATAATTATAAATTGGACTAGGGCCGACTTTGCGTGCACAGTCACCGACCAACTAGTAAAAAGATATAAAATTCGATCAACTTGGTTATTTAAGTTATTTTAAAAATAAAGACTAAAATTAAGTCAGAAATAACTAAAATTTTAACCGATAGCGCAACTAAAATTTATATTGCAGCTGGTCATTCGGTTTTTGGGGTAACAGAAATTTGAACACCCATTTGTTGCCCAGTTCTTCAGCGGAACCTTGATTTCCGAATCTGGCAAACAAAAAATCTGAGAAAAATGTCCAAAATTCACCAATCCATCACATTCACATGTCTATTGTTGAATTGAACTGTTATGAAACCTCCGAGAAGAACAGTCACCTCTCACCTCCTACTCAGAAACCCATCAACGTATTCAAGAAATCATGAAAAAACCCCTTTTCTAATCCCTCGCTTATCGCCACCTGAATCAGCTCAATCCCAAATCCCATCAAGAACACGCCTTTCATCCCCCAAGATTCTTCCTTGCCCATCCCTAATTCCAAACGGCATCAAGTTTAACAGTACCCATCTTCTCAATTCGCTAAACCAATCAAAACCCACCATCAAAATCACGCGCTCAAGCTATATCACCCCGGAAAATGGATCGTTATTCGCCAAAGCTCTTATCCCTATTGCAAAACCAGGTCCCATTTCCAATCCCTTTCGTTTTAGCCAAATGGCCTGTAAATTTGCTCAAAATCGATCATCGTCATCTGCAAAATCGTGCCCTTTTGCTTCGGATTCTGTCCCTGTTGTTGATACTGTAAGTTCACCGAACGCGGGCTCGGATCCTATTGATGCGGGATCTTCGATAAGAAAGCCCATCAGCTTATGGCCCGGAATATACCATTCACCTGTGACAAATGCATTGTGGGAAGCAAGATCGAGTATTTTCGAGAGGCTGTCGAATGCACAAGAAAGTGATCCCCCACAGAGTGAGTTGATCTCAAAAACTCCATCTAAGAGTAGGACAAGCGTTCTGTATAAGTTTTCTAGTGATTATATACTCAGGGAGCAGTACAGAAATCCTTGGAATGAGATTAGGCTTGGGAAGTTGCTTGAAGATCTTGATGCTTTAGCTGGAACTATATCCTTTAAGGTACACCTCAACTTCCTTGATTAATGTTACTTTTATTAAGGGGGTGAAATGGGGATGAGCTCAGACTCTAGTCTCTATAAATAACATTGTTATCCATCTTTTGAATCTAATGTACCCATACCGATTGTTGGCATTTTGTTCTGTTTATCTTCTTGTTTGACAAACACAATAAGTTGGGTTTTTTTCTGGATTCTTGGATGAGCCCGTGTCTGCATTGATAATATCAATTGATTATATGGTCCGAAATATACTTTATGAATATTAAGGCGAAGAATTGTGACAAAAACGAAAGTGTGATTCTACGTGGTAAAAGAATGGCTACTGAAATTGAAAGTGGATCTACAATAAAAGTGGATTTTAGCACGTCAAAATCATGCCGTCCGAAGCCAAAAGAAGAAGGCATTCAAGCTAGACTGTTATCAATGGGTTCTATGAGCACGAGCAACCAATAAATGTTGAATTTGTCTTCACGTTGGTAGATTAGCTAAATGCACCTACTAGTAAACTGCTCCAAGTATTCTCCATAGTTTATAATCTCAAAAAATAAATAATACCTACTTCTCAACAAAGAAATTCTGTCAAATATTATTTCTTTTCATGTTTGATATGGCCTCTATTTTTTGACTCATTACTATTATTTATTTTCTGCTTTCTCTTTCTTTTTTATTTAATCGTTTCATGTATGCACCAGCATTGTTCCAGTGAAGATAGCTCCACAAGGCCCTTAATATTAGTTACAGCTTCTGTGGACAAGATGGTACTCAGGAGACCTATTCGGGTAGAAAGAGATCTAACAATAGCTGGTGCTGTTACTTGGGTCGGGCGATCATCCATGGAGATTCAATTGGAAGTCACTCAGCCCTGTGAAGGTATAAATATCTTCTGGCATCAAAACCATGTTGTCTCTTACCAATAAATTTTACAATTTTTTGATGTGATACATCTTTTTTCTTGCTGTGATTAAATCAATGTACATGACACTAATTTGATTGTGTAATCAATTTTGGTGATTCTTTACAGATTTTCAGCTTCCATAATATTTAAATCAAACAGAAATTATATAAATTGAATTAATCAAGTGGAGACTCACATATCTATATGACTGCATCGACATGTGTGAAAAAATCATTTATTCTAGATGGTTTTTCTGGTTCCTCATAGCCGTTTGATTAAATATTACATGCATTATTGCAGATCATTGTGCTGTTTTTGTCTATTTGCACCTTGTAATATACATGCCATGCAAATTGTCTGCTTTTCAGTTTTTGTTTTGCTTAAATTTGGAAGGCTGGACTAATTTATGCAGTATATGTAGCATTAAAGATACTTATGGTGCCATCAGTGCTTAAATTTCCTATCTTGTTCTAAAAAGTTGGACAAAGAAAGAAACTACTAAGAGGATCGTAAGCCACCCTCAATTATTTGAAGAGAGATGCAAACAGCAAAGTTTGATTTGATGCTTCTGTTCTTTTTTAAATGTATGATATTTCCCAATATATAATGCTTAAAAGCATTTCCAAAATGTTATAAGTTTTCTGTTTCCTTCTAATTCGTTCTGTTGGCTTTCACATTATTATCAACATAATTCCTTTTCTTGCAGAATTATCCGATCCCTCAGATGCACTTGCTCTCACAGCAAACTTCACCTTTGTGGCCCGTGATTCCAAGACTGGAAAGTCAACTATGATTAACCAAATCTCTCCCGAAACAGAAAAGGAAAAATTGCTTTGGGAAGAGGCTGAACAAAGGAACAAATCCAGGAAAAAGAAGAAAGGGCAACAGAAGAAAGAAATTAGCGACGAGGAATTGAAGAGGCTCAATGACTTGCTGTCTGAAGGCCGAGTTTTTTGCGACATGCCGGCTTTAGCAGACAAAGATAGTATTCTTATAAAGGATACTTGCCTTCAGAACTCTCTAATGTGCCAGCCACAGCAAAGGAACATTCATGGTCGGATTTTCGGAGGGTTTTTAATGAGAAGAGCTTTCGAGCTAGCCTTTGCAACTGCTTACTCATTTTCTGGCAGTGCGCCTTGTTTTCTGGAAGTTGATCATGTAGATTTCCTTAAACCGGTCAGTAGATGATTTACATCTTTTTCTTGCAGCCAATAGTTTTGCTGATTCCTAGTTTCTGTTTGCAATATTAAAAAGATGGTTATAATTATCTTAACAAGGACCAAAAAAGACATCCAATGCTTCTATGTATCAAGTCTGGGAAATTGATTATCATTTCATGTTTTGGTTATTTATGGGACAAGTCCTTGAACATCGGCCTAAACTGTAAGGATAAGAGGACATGCACGTGTTACAAGTGAAGCATTTTCACATGCACCNGTTGGTGATACAGGTTGATGTTGGGAACTTTCTACGTTTCAATTCTTGTGTGTTGTTTACTGAACTTGAGAATCCAGCACAACCGATGATTAATGTGGAAGTTGTGGCTCACGTTATGAGGCCTGAACAAAGATCTAGTGAGGTTAGTGGATTGTTCCTTTTGTTTGCTTTTCTGATTTGATATACTACTAATATGTGATCAGTGCACTCTCAAATGATATCAATTGCAATATTGCATTTTACTTCAGAGCTGATAGTTTATTGGTTTTCTCTTAATTGTAACTAACAAGGAAGTTTGCAAATGTAGTACATAACACTTCCCCTCTAAAAATTTTACTACCTCCTACTTAAAATGTCATTTTGGTTTTATCAACCATTAACCAAATAAATGACGTTTTGGATCTTTTGTACATATTTTTTCATTATTATCCTCATTTTGCTAATAATACACTACATCTTCTCACATTCACTCTTCATCTTTTCACAAAACATCCATCTCTATTTTCATTAAAGAGAGTAATAGGGTTATTACTGGCAAAAAAAACTTCTTAATTATTGTGCAACTTTTCAAAACGACATATATTATGAATGCGAGGGAGTACACAATTTATGGAAAACTGCCAAATTATTGATCCTAGCCTCATTATAGCATTTGGGTTTAGTTACTGAAAGTACCCTTCAGTTTTATCTTAATTACAATTTTCTAAATTGCAGAGAACTGTGCCACATTTCGTTTCCGTTTTTTTTTTTTTTTTTTTTTTTTCACATTTTCCCATTCATGAGAAATATTAGAATTTCAATCTCACAGATATTGCAAAATTTTAGCATTACATGTGTAGAATCCTATGATTCACTTTTTCTTGAGTTATCGTATAGTGATATTTGTTGTGCTTGCCAATATATCAAGGTATCGAATAAGTTCTACTTCACATTCACCATCAACTCAAATGCACTTAAAAACGGTCAGAAGATTCGGAATGTCGTCCCTGCAACTGAGGAGGAAGCCAGACGAGTTATCGAACGTATTGATGCTGAAAAGTCGTAGAAACTTCCAATTCTTTATACGGTTACCACATTAGCTAAATGTAGGCATTGAAGGTTTGTTTTGAAGTCTAGTTCGTTTGCCATTTCAATAGTAAGGGTGTGTTTGGATACAAATATATCAGCTCAAACTAAGTTTTTTTTTTAACCAGAGATAATTTTGAAAATTGTGGTATAGTTAGTTGTTAATGAAATTTTGATTTTATTTTAAAATAATATTTAAAATAAAAATAATTAATGTTGATTTGATATAAAAGTATGAGAGAGATGATGTGAAGTGATGGTTAGTTAAAATTATGTGAGTGGATGAATAGTGAATTAAAGTTGATGTGATCTGTAAAAATAATAATATTATATTATTTAATTATCAATATAATTTAAAGATAGTAGATTGAGTTAGACTTTGAATATGAAGTGTGTATATTTGAGTTTATTTATACTCAAACACACCCTAAACCCTAAATCTGAACCCATTTTTACTTGGAATAAAATATGAAACTCTTTTCAGTTGGTAAAAACATGAATATTTGTGTAATAAATATAAAATTGCTCGACTTCAATTCAAGATCGACTGAAATAAAAGCGTATCTCAATGGATTTGACTAAATAATAGTCAAGCAGGCTCACAGAATTTTCAATACTCAAACCAGTAGAGTGATGACTTTTAAGTTTTAAGTTTCAAATGCCAATTGAAGGATTTGCAAGCTAGTTTTGACTGGTGGAACACTAATATACTGTTTCCTTATAAACAAATCAAGTCACATCAAACTACTACATTACATACATAATAATATCCCCCATCACAAAATCCTCTACTTTAACCTCGTTTGGTACAAAAACTAATACCATCATAAATATTTTTACACCACATAGTTTGACAATCACTTCTCAATACACCCCACTTCAGCTAAAACGAACAAGAGCTCTCATCGTCCGACGAGCTCGATTGCCTCCCCTCGCTAAACCCAGGAAAAACCGGAGCATTTGGGCCCGGGCCCACATTAGCCTGCCCCTGAAGAACCTGCTGGCCCGAATTCACCCTGGCCCGCTCATTAATCCTTCCTGCATCCTTACACACACGATCGAGAATAACCAGAAAATCCCTCACAACCATAAATAGTCTCAGTGGCCGAGCCTCCAAACTACCCGAGTCCCCATGGAAATACTCGGTCAAACCTTTGACCATCGAAAAAGCCACGCCTTCCTTCATCCGAACATTCTCGATTTCCACCTCAGCCTTCTTCAGAAACTCAGTCATATTCTCCGAGAATTTCCCGCCACCCATCTCAAGAGCTTCTCTAACCTTGTGAATTCCGGAGACTAACTTCTGGACGTCTTTTACGAGCGAATCCGAGTCGATGCCAGCTGCCTTTTTCACGTTTGACAGCTCGCCACTCAAACCGGACACGACCTGGAGGCCTATCTTCTTGAGCTCGACCTCGTCCCTGAGAGTTGACTGCTGTTGACTTTGACTTTTCTCGTTTTGAAGGGCGGGTTTGGATGAGCGGGCCCCTTCAGCATGGATGATCTCTTGGACGACGAAATGGAGAAGAGTGGTTTTACCGTCCGCGCCCTTGACATCAGCGAGTTTGAGGAGAGTGTCGAGCTTGAAGGCTTGTGCGTCCCCTCGGTTAGTGCCATTGTTCATACGGTTACCGGTTTTGAGGACAGCTTCTAGAAGCTTCATGAACATCCGACTGCTCTTCAGTTCTTTGCAAGCCAACTGCAGCTCGGAAAACAGTGGAAACAAATCATTTTAATTTAAGAGGCATTGGTTATTTTTGTCAACAAATGTAGACTTGGACAAATATGCATTTAAAAACTACAAATTTGTCATGCCATGACAATATCAATAGGGTAGCAGAGAAAGCATTGGGTCTAAAATTAGGTTAAGTGAGGTGAAGAGTGATCTCAGGGCCTTATTTGGGGGGATTAATAAGTGATACAAAGATTGATTTCAAAAGCACAGAAGAATGTATCAAGCCTCAAACCTTAATTCCTTCAACTGTCCTAGTAAAAGGAAATGCTAGACATGAAGATAGTTACAAAAACTGGCTAGATTTCTTAGGGGGTGTTTGTATATATATCCGCTCAAAATAAGTTTTTTTTTTTATTAACTAGGGTTAATTTTGAAAAAGGTGGTATGGTTAGTTGTTAGTGGAATTTTGATTTTATATTAATATAATATTTAAAATAAAATAATTAAAGTTGATTTGATGTAAAAGTAAAGTAGGAAAGAGATGATGTGAAGTGATGGTTAGTTAAAATCATGTGAGTGAATGAATAGTGAATTACAGTTGATGTTATATGTAAGAATGATTGATTCATATTATTTAAATATATTGACAATATTGATGATAGTAGTTGAGCTAAAATTGAGTTAGATTTTGAGTATGAATTGAGTTTATTTATATAAAAACACGCTCTTAATGTCATGTGATCTCTCAATATAAAAACACTTGAACTAGTTCAACATTGTATGTGAAGGATTTTACCTCTAGCGTGTCAAATGATCTCTTAAGATGTTTGACCTCTGACTCGAAATTGGCCACATAAAGCATGGCATCTACTCTCTTGAATGCAAATGGTATACTGAGCACCGCCTTTAGAAATGCCTCGGCAGTTCCCAGCTTGAGTGGTGAATCATTATTTAACTCCATCAGCTTTCGTTCCTCCTCTATTGTGGGGGCCATTTTCAATAAGCTCTCGAGAAGCTCGGAGCTCAGTGTGTCAGCATTTCCTTTTTGGAAGAAAGAAGCTTTTAGAACATTTCTATAACAGGCATTTTTTCATAATGTATATATTTCGATTTAAGGTTAATTGTTTGAGTTGAGATAATAAACACATATCCACACTAAATGCTATTTGGTGTAGATATTATTAATTTTTCATACTGTCTTGGGAATTATTTCTGGAATGAATGACCAACAACTTTTCTTTCACTAGACCAAAAAAAGCAGATAAAAGAGACAGCACATACAGAATGGAGACAATTAATACTGAGCTCTAAAATGACTTGACATGTCTACCTAGATTGCCTTTTCACAGTGACCATAAGCTTCAGATGTAAAAAAATAAATTCAACAATTTAAAGTTCCAACAAATATATGGTTTTATTCAAAACAGAAATGAGATTTTTGCTTTCTAGCAAATTGACTAGCAACAAGAACGAGTTGGCACGACAACACTAACATTGAAAAATCTCGATATCATTACCTATATCGTTCAAAATGCTTCATACTAAATAAAATGTTTCTTGAAAAACCATTACCAGATTAAATTCTTTCATCCTTTATCATACAATATACCAGAATAACAAGACTACAACCAATTAAAAGTCACCGAGAGTCTGGACCATTAAATTCATTTTAATGGTCTCAAAAAGAATATACTGAAATTTGTTCTCACCTTCTAAGATTGCCTCACAAACTTCATGAACAGTGACATTAAGAGCCCTTAGCAGTATAGCAATGTTCTGGGACTTTTTTGGATCAAGAACAAGATTTTCTTGATTCATTTCTGGCATCATCTGGCGCCTCAGGCCATCTTTTGCATTCATAGTAGAAGCATTGGCCGTGAATAGAGTCTCAATCATTTCCTCATTCAACCTGTAACCAAAGTAGACACCCCACAAATTTTAGATGCAAGAAAGAAAAATAACTGAGAACATGAATGCCCCAAAATATAATGACTGGTCGAGGATTTATCCGCAAAATGGACACCCCAGCCACTCTGTTTGAGGTACATTAATAATCTACTAGAACAAATATTCAGCAAAGTATAAGTAGGAATTATATTCCTGACACATTGCATAATCTTAAAGCAAAATGCCAGCAACGAAGAAAAAAAAAAACGTTAAGTTGAATTAGAAAATCAAAATGTACTTGTAGAAAGGCAAAGAATTTTTTGCAAAAACATCAGAAAAATAAAGGATAGAAAGATCAAGAATCTCACTGAAAAGAACTAGATTTAAGCTGATCCCAAACCATTGATTTATCTGAACTTGCTCTCACTTTATCCCAATGCAAAGGCTTCAGCTTAGGTTTCATCATTTCCTCAGATTTACTTTCCAAATTTCCCAAACTACCCTGCTCCCCGCTCAAGTTTTTCAAAACAACTTTTCTTGAAGGCGCCACCAGCTCCGGCGGGCCGGTAGGCGGTGCCGCCACAGGTGGCGGCGGAGGGGGAGGCGGAGGCGGCGAAGGGGTCACTTTCCCAATGCTGGAGAAGTCCGAGGCCCGGGGAGAGCAGTCCCGAGTTGCGCAGTCGTCTGTTGAGGAGGGTGAAAATGTCGGGAATGCTCTCGGCTGCCTTGCTGGCGGAGGAGGAATGAAGCGCGGCAATGGGGCCGGGAAAATCACCGAGCTGTCTGGAGATTTTGTTAGCATGCTTTGCGGGCTTTCGGAATTGAGGGCGACCGACGGGCTATTATCCGGGGAGATGGAGTACACCGGAGAGTTGCAGGCGAATGGGTTTAGGTTTCCGGTTTTGTGGAAGCGGCTGCCGGTGTTGTTCTGAGGTGTGGAGGATCTGGTGCGGAAAGGACTAGTATTGTTTGCGGTGGACCCTTTGGGTGAGAAGAACAGTTCATCTCCATCATCCGCGTTGCTGTTTTCTTCTTCTCCCTCGGCGTGGGGGGTATTGTGGTAAATTTGCCCAGAGTGCTGGCGCGGCAACGGCGGAAGCGGCTGGAGCTCCGGCGAGCCGAGCCTCTGGTAGTTGCTAGGCGGCGGGGGAGGGGCTTTTCCGTCATTTTGTCCGGCGCTTGGGGCCGCGTAGTTCTCCGGGTCCCGCGAGCTGACGAGGGTCCCGAGGTAGAGGAACTCCGACGAGGTGGAGGAAGGGGCGTGGCGGGGGAACAGCTGCGGCGGCGGCTTCTTGCTGGCGTCGGTGGTGACGGGGGCGCCGGTGGTGGTGACACTAGTGTCGCTAGGGGTGGTGTTGGGAGGGAAAAGGCGGAGGCTGTCGCTTTTGAGGGACTTGTCCTCGTGGTAGTGGTGGCGGCGGTGGCGGAGGAGGAGGAGGACTACGGAGGTGAAAACGAGGACGGAAAAGAAGGAGACGGCAACAATGAGGGAAATGAGCTTGGTGGGCTTGTGGGAGGGGCGGGGGGAGGAAGGGAGGACGAGGGAAGAGATGTTCGCCGGAAAGGTTGCAAACGCGGTGGCGGAGATCGGCGGAGGCGGCGGAAGCGGCGGAGAAGAGATGTCCGGGAAGAAAGGGCTCTCGGGGATGGTGGTGGGAGCGACAGGTGGGGGAAGCGTGGTGAAAGGGTAGTTGGGCTGCTGGGGTTGTGGTTGAGAAGAAGGGGAGGAGGACGGCGGCTGAGAAATGGCGGTGGCGCCCGGAGAGGGGTTTTGCTCGAAGGACAGTAAAGGCTGGTGGAGTAGCTGCCGCTGGAGGCGGCTGGCGGCGGTGACGGAGAGAAGAAGGAATGAGAAAACGATGAGGATGTGGAAGTGGGGCATTATGATGTGGTCGGAGATGGCGGTGGGGTGGTGCAGAGGGGCGGAGGAGCGGCGGAGGAGAATAATTACAACAGTCCAAAAAAAAAAGTAACAACTTTTAGACTGTGAGTGGGTTTTGACCACACGAAAAAGAAGAAACGGGTGAAAAATTTTAAAATATTGCCCTAAAAAAAAGCAAAAATAAAATAAGGAGGCAGCTAGTACTTTCAATCAAATCCCTTATTTTAAGCCATATAATGTTGTGCTGCTGTGTTGCTCGTTGATTTAGTATAATCCGTGTTTCAGTTTTATAATGTTAATATATTAATAGTGGTATTTTCTTTATGGACTAACAAACACGACATTTTTCTGTGTCCCTCATCTAAATTCGAGGGGATACGACATTTTTTTAACAAGTTGGAGATAAAAAGATTTTCCAACCCTTAATGGCATGCTCTTTATTCTATAATGTTGATCGTTTTATAATAATTAATAGTATAAATATAAAATTTATGTTAAAAAATGTTATGTCTGACAATGATTATGTTGTCTAAAAGTAGCACTTGTAGGAATAGATAGATTTTCATGCAACTTTGTAATCTGAAAATGGAGATAAATTTTAAGAATGTTGTTAAGATTTAAAATAATAGTTTTTTACTCAAATCACCTATTCTTATTGAGTCTAAATGATAAACTCGTATGCTTTGATATGTGACAAATTTTTATGTTTTTTCATTTGACTTGGACGAATTTTAATTTACTTTCAAGATACTCCAATGAAGAATCGCAGTTCAGAGGACCAAATTGTTATGAGTATCAAATTCCAAGAGTACTATCCAAAGCAAAACCAAGCCCTTTTGACCAGCTTCGACAGTCATTTGGTGATAAGCATTCTGGTCAAAAACTAGTCAGGGAAATTGATGGTAGTTCTTGTGATTAACAGACATTGAACAACTGCTTTTGTTTTTTGGAAGACGTATATAAATTGTTGCTTTTGATTGTGGGAAAAACCCTTGTACTTGTTCCAGTTGTTTTTTAGGTTATATGTTTGAACAGTTGCTTTTAGGTTTTGCTTGTGTAAGGGGTCCAGTTTATTTTTGTACTTATCAGACAATGTGGTTGCAATAATGAAATTTATTTTTGTTCCAGTTTGCTTATACATTTGTTTATCATATCAGAACATTTGCTTTTGGAAATGAAATCTACTCATCAAAAATAACAAAGGCTATTTAAACATAAATAGAATGGAACACTTACCTTAAAAAGCTTGATACATTTAAACTTTAGCTAGTTCATTTAATATCATAACAGAAACATTACAAACACAACTACATGGAACCAATTCAATACATCAACCTTCATACATCCCAACCAGCCATAAAGACTAAAGTTACAAAAACACAAACACAAATGCAAGGAACATATGTGTCACAACTTCCCCAATACATTCACTAAACTAGTTTATTCAATCATCTTAAATGAACCCTGGGCACCACAATTTTTATTCAGATACTGATACAAAATGATAGCAGATGCAAAAAAGAACAACCACATTGTATTCTTTGACTTGGTCTTCATGGTGTTTTCAGCTTTTTCATCTCAGCTGCCAAGATCCTTTTTTCCTCCTTGAGTTTATCATTTTCTTCTTGTATTTGTTGAAGAATGTGGCGCAGCTCGTTCGATTTGCGCAATAGTCCAGGGATCAATTGCTTCGATCGAGTGCATACTGACCCATCAACCCACGAAAAAAATTGCACCCTCCCCCTCTCTGATTAATAGAAAATAAAAAATAAAAATGTAAATTTCTGAAAAATTAGGGTTCTTCATTTCAGAAATTAAATTAGTATCTTATAATAATTGCATGAATAGAACCGTTTTCTAGGGTTTTCAGATGTCCAAGATGTACGAACAATACTTAGTTGGCCGCAATTGCACTCCTTCCCCGCCACCATGTAAGAGCTCTCTGATACTTTTTCCATCGATTGTAAAATTAGGGCTGCAGGGGTCGGTCTCAACAAATTGGGATAATATAATGATTTACGGGCACTCATTTTGGTCCATTTTCCCTCCAATTCTGTCTAACATGGCAATTTAATTTGCCATCTCATTTTTCTTTTCCATTTTTTTTATTTTTTGTTTTTGTTTTTTTATCCACGTCGTTATGGTGCGCAGGCCACGTTGCCATTAGTGGAAGGAAAATGAGTTACGTGGTCAACACGTGCAATTTTCGGCCAAAAATCTTCAAAATATGTTGATTATTTGTGGTCATATTACATGTATTAATTACATCTTAATATCATTTCTTATTATAACCATTGAATTGTAAATATATTTTAAAAGTTAATAACTTTTGTATTTTTTATCAGTTTTCATATATAATATATCAAATTAACCATCTCTTGATGAACTTCGATTTAACATCCATATTGTATGTATAAAAAAAATAAATTATATTTATCTTTATAACAATAATAAAATTGTTTTTTAATATGAATTAGAAAAATAAAATTATTTATCAATTAATATATTTATATTTCAAGTAGTTATATGATATAAGTTATAAAAATTACTATAATAAAATACATGGAAGTCGCACAAGTAACAAGTGTCATTCTAAAATATATAATAATAAATATTTTTTGTTAAAAAATAAATAAAATTTAAAATATTTTTTTCTCATTAATTTAAAATTTAAGAATATTTTTAACAAACACCCGTGTAACACATTGGTGTTGTACTAGTATTTTCGAGTACGAAAGTGAAGAGTCAACAATAACACCACAATATCTTTTCTTGAAAAGCAAAAAGTGATGTTAGGTACCATTTTTTTCTTAAATAAAAATAATATTAATAATATATTTATCACTTATCTATTACTATATAATAGCAATAATAAAAAAAATCTAAAAAAAGCATGAATATTCCCGCTCAAATTTTCGGTTTTTGCTACTAATGGAAGTTTTTTTGAATTTTTTTTTATTTCTCCTACCCATAACATATTTTCAATTTTGAAAGTAATTCCAAACCACTATATATCCGGTCAAAGCCCTATATTTGGTAAATACATGTTTTCAATTTCAAAATTAATAAATAATATTAATATACATTAAATATTATTATTATATAAAAAATAATATTACTCCTATAAATGTTATAAATAATAATGACATTATATGACAATAAATTTTTTATTAAAATATTATTTGAGTATTATAATAAACCAAAATTTGTAAAACTATTATTTTTCCTATATTAAAAAATAAATATATATAAGTAAAATAATGTTTGAGTATTATGAAGAACCAAAATATGTAAAATTATTATTGTTTTTTGCGTATTAAAAAAAATATATATATATATGTTAAAATATAATTTATATTCATATAAACAGGTGAGCGAATTAATTTGTTTTTAAAATAAAGTTTTCAAAAAATGTTCTAATGTACGAAACCCCCGTGCACCGCACGGGATTCTCACTAGTATTAACTTAAGGTAAACTCCCATTTTCAAAGTAATATTGCTAGTAAGTGTCACGTTCAGGCATGGCCGGCTCTTTGGGGAGGCAGCCTAGGGCCTCCCCATATATTTGGGTCCCTATTTTTTTTCTCAATATTATATATATGTGATGAGTTTGGCATATTTGTACATATGAAATGACTCAAGTCTAAATATAGACTTGACTCATTATACAAATGAATGGACTAATTAGTGAATGGGCTAATGGCAAAATATGTACTTTGTGTGAAAATTTGTAGGGCTGGTATCGGTTCAGTAACCGAATCGATAGCAGATTACCGATACCGAACCGAACATTATCGGTTTCCTACTTTGCGAACCGAAACCGAACCGATAAACATTCAGTAACCGAAAAGTCGGTTACCGATAAAACGGTTCGGTTTCGGTTTAACCGATAAAAAACCGATACTTTTAACACTTAACAGAGCAGCCATGCTTTTTCCTTTTCTGTTGGGTTGTTGGGTAATTGAATGAAAGTAACAGCAGCCAATCCATTATCCATGGATTAAGTAATAAAAGTAAAAGTTTAGCTAGTGTGTTACACAAATAAACAGCAACCAATCCATGGATTTACCACCAACATAAATGGATGTTAATAGGCATAAATTAATAACAAATAAACAGCAGCCAAATAAACACAGTAACAAAGCAACAGCAGGCAGCAAGAATGGAGGTTTTTTTTTTTCACAATTGAAAATTGCCACAGAACTAAGCAGATTAGAGTCAATTTACACCTCTCTTGGAATTACCCAACTGAACCAAGGGAATGAAAACCAAAACAAAACAAGACCCCAACAACCTAAACAAGCACTAAAAGAAATAAAAGAAACTAACTGAAAATAACAAAAACTCACAGATCTAATCAGCAACAGAAAACAACTACTTAAACAAACAGCAATCTATACATAACCACCACTACAAGAAGAAAACCAGCCCAAACTGTAAACACAGAAGTATTTTAATTTTTTTTTTATATATATATATTGTTATCGGTTCGGTTCGGTAAAACCGAACCCATAAGATTTTGGAACCGATACCGAATTGATAATAATTCGGTAACCGAAAATCGGTTACCGTTACACATAGTTCGGTTCGGTTCGGTTTTATTTTCCAATCGGTTCGGTTCAGTTCGATTCGATTTTCGGTTTTCGGTCAAAAAATACCAGCCCTAGAAATTTGAGGCCCTAAATATTTTATTTTTTTTCTTATGATGTTCGGTTAGAATAATTGTTTGAGAATAAATATTCTTTACAGTGACATGGTTTTTATTTTCTTCTCCTTATTGTTCTCATGACTGCTTGAATGTAAATTATTAAAGATCTTTGTAACCCATAGGTAATTTATCACTTCCAAGGTCTAGAAAAATAAGAAAAAATATTTTTTTAATTAATTATTTATTTATTTAATAGTTTTTTTAATTAGATTTTTTTCTTTTACGATTCTATCTGCATATAGCCTAATTACTACGCAAGCTCAGATCGAAAAACTCGAAAAGGACAAATTTGTTTAGGGCCTCCAAATTTTCATGCGTTCAGGCACATATTTTTTCAACAATTTTATAATTTCCGTAATATTATATTTTGAAAATAGTGTAATATAAATAATATTTTATTATATAAATACACAGTTTTGTTAAAACATTATAATTATCTAAATTTATATCATGCTGTTAGACAATTTGTTATATAACAATATATAGAATTTGTCAACAATAGAAGAAAACAACTTTATTTATATGATTTTATCCAAGAAGAAAGGTGAATCTGA